TAGGTGACAAAACAGAACACTACCCAGTGAACATCGTCAACAACAAACAAGGATCTAACAAAGACAGACAGAAAAACCAGAACTAAAATACACACAGGACTAATCAAGGAAACAAGAGACAGGTGAGGAGGGAGGAGAAAACACAGGGGCACCAGGTGAACACAATCAGGAAAACAGGTAGGAGGGAACACACAGACAGGAAACCAAAGAAAGATCCAAACAAGACAAAACACAACACAGACAGATCGTGACAGTTAGGTGATCATTTTCTGTGGGTTTGTTTGCCTTTCATCAATATCATTTGATCCAACTGCCATTGCTACTCTTAAAGTACAATACAAGTGCAGCTTTAATAATACCCATCAACCTTGTACAGAGTTCACATTCACACAAGCATTTGCACGAGTTGAGTCATACATAAGAATAAAAAGGGTGAAGGAGCGAGCAAGGCTGCTTTGAATGGTTCTCACCCCCTCAGGAAGGACACAACACCTGTTAAATGGCACTGCCCTCTGATAACACTTGGACCAATATTATATTTGTATTCAGTCCTAACAAGCTTATGAGAGGGAGAGGGAAGCTGTCATGGCAAGGACAATAGTGGTGGGGATGAATTGTATTAATGGTTATGGCAGTCCCTCATTATTTGGTACTTTGCAACACTTTTGAGGTAAATGTGACTTCAAGACCACTCCTGGGCGCCTCCCTAGAGAGGTGTTCCAGGCACGTCCAGCTGGGAAGAGAACAAGGGGTAGACCTAGGACCAGGTGGAGGGATTTTAGCTCGTCGCTGGCCTGGGAGCGCCTTGGGATCCCCCAGTCAGAGCTGGTTGATGTGGCCAGGGAAAGGAAAGTTTGGGGCTGGAACTGCTAGCCCCCGCGACCCGACCACGGATAAGCGGGAGAAGATGGATGGATGGATGGATGACTTCAAGAGTTGATGAGAAGGTTATTCTGATCACCTGTTGTGCAGGTTGTCAGCACGGTGCAGTTTGGTGGATCAACTGCACACCCAGGCCATTGTGATCCTTTCTTTATATAATGCAAACCCCTTTTTTTTTTACCAGATATTGTTATCTCAAGCTTCCTAGAAAAACAGTAGAGCATCATGGTGAACTTCAAAGAAAATCCTTATAACTTTGACATTTTTTGAGTGTGTAAAATAAGTCTAGATTCCGATAGAGATAACGAAGCTTAATAGCCCTTAAGAGAGCACATAAGGTTAAACACTATTAAGAGCAGGGAGGAGGCCTTTTAAGAGGCTTTAGAGTGAACTAAGCAGAGGAGGAAATGATGGAAAGACAAAGGCGTGAACACTAAATATAAGTGAGTTAATGAAATGCTCCAGATTAGATTGTGCTGGGATAATGTTTGTGGTGGATTTCATTAAAGATGCACTCACATCTCCCCACCACAAATAAATAACGCTATGACGCCATGAAAGTGATTACAGCACTAACATAGTTGGCATTGATTAAGAACTTAAATTACCAGCATGGGAAATACAATGTTAAGCTGCCTTTGAAGAACAGCTTCCAATGTATTAATACTGATTACTTTAAATACTCTTTTTAATAACACCATGTCTTAATATAGAGCTCAAAATTTAATATCCATTCCGCCAAATGAATGTTTTTTTCTCCAACTAATCAAACCTTTAACAAATAATTCAATCTCCTTTCCATTAGGTAACCTGCATCAAGGCATATTTTAGTATTATTTTATAACACATACAGGCTTTAATTGTATTAAAAGCCTCTTCATACACGTTTCTTATTTTTGAAAAGGCATTGTGTTAATTATTAAAGAGGCATTTTACTACAATTTAAAAGGGCAAAGTGTGGAATCACAACAGGAAGCACTGTACCAGCAGAAAGACCCCTTTCAACATTCCAGTGTTTGCAAATGCTGAGTTTTGCAGTCTCACACAAGCATGTAACCAAATAAAAACACCTACACCAGTTGACGCACGCACGCACGCGCACACACACACACACACACACACACACACACACACACACACACACACACACACACACACACACACACACACACACACACACACACACACACACACACACACACACACACACACACACACACACAGTCAAGCCCCGCGGGGTTTGGCATCCAGCTGAGTCTGTGTTTTTAAGGTCATCACTTAAAAGATGATTCAGCCTAATCTCCTGATCCCCCTGGCCTTCTACTATCTCTCTCATTTCCTCATCCTGCTCTGTCTCTCCTCCCCTCGCCTCGCCCCCTGGCTACCCGCACCTCCTTTATCTCCTCTCTATCCCTGAGCTTGCTTTGCTATCTCCACGTCCCTCTATCTTTTCACCCCCCTCTTCTCTCCCGCCTATATTTGTGTCTCTACTCCTTCGCTGTTTCAGTCTTCATTTCACTCTCACACCATATTCTGTTTTTTTGTATCATTGCTTATCTATCAGACCCAGGCCCAGGGTAAAGGAGAGGCTTAGGAAATGGAGAGCGCCGGGTTCAGATGAGCCACGTTGTGATTGGCGTGGACAACGGGGGAGGAAGCCTGTTACATGTCCCTTTGACTCCGATCACAGTCATTCAGAACTGTGAAGAGTCACTTGTTCCTTTGCTTTAATTTTCACTTTGAGCTGCCGCACTTTTTCCTCATCTTTTTGCAGAAATCCTGAGTGGTGACCCAGCGTCGACCTGTTTGTGCATGTTAGTGTCACAAAGTGCTCGCCTTGAAAGCAATTTTTGTGTATTTCTGACTTTAAGGAGCAGTTGAAAATGCACTGTATTTGTACGGTATTTCTCCTTCTCAATATTCTATCCATGACTTTGTGAACACTGCTCTTTGTGATGGAAACAAGGAAGCTCTAATTAAGGGTCGTCAAACCAACAAACTTGTGCCACAAGGATATTTACTTTAAACTTTTGGAAACAGGAAAATTAGCATTCATTTCGAGCCCTGTTTCTGACCACCTAATCCAGTTGTCCAATATTTATTCTTCTTTAAGCTTTGTATCTTGTTGCCACCTACACCTGAGGGAAATATGTTACTCTTTAGCTGCTGAATGCTCCACTGGGTAGCAAACAGTTGTAAAGCTCTGTGAAGGTAATGGGAACTGCAGAGCTGGGTGTGTGATTTCATATCCAAGTAGAAATGTGATCCACTATTTGAATGACAATATTTATAGACGCTTTAAACCCGTTGTTGAATATGTGGTGTCTATTCTTTACACAATATGTCTGCACTTGTCTGGCAGCAATCATTGTCAATTTTGCTGCCAGAGAACGAGGCTTCAGTGTGGAGTTGTGATGCTTCACTGTGGCACCTGCACTGCCATTTGTCCTGAGGTCTAGTACTTCTGGAGTAGACCTGAAGAGCTTTATCTCTGCAGCTCCAGGAAGCTGTCTGCTCTGAAGCCGTGGATCAATCAGGTTGACTCGAGCACATCCAAGGACATCACATACATTCACTCCACAAACTCTCTCCATCGCAAAACTGCAAGTGACGCCGGGAGATACGAGGAAAGCTGCAATGTGGAACTTCATTCCTTGTCCTGAGATGTGAATATGACGCTAGCCTAAGGCACAGAGGCAGGAGGGTTCGTCCTTTTGAAATCTCTCTCTCTCTCTCTCTCTCTCTCTCTCTCTCTCTCTCTCTCTCTCTCTCTCTCTCTCTCTCTCTCTCTCTCTCTCTCTCTCTCTCTCTCTCTCACCAGCAGACCTCAGCTGTGTGGATGAGAGTTGGAAAAACACCAGGGACTCCTGTGACTACCTGCTGTTTCCGTCGAAACACAGCCTGCATGGTAGCGCTACCTCCGCACAGCTGGAGATGTTACTGAGTGTGTGTGTGTTTCTGTTGTTCTTCCAGCTGTTTTTGCGGGTTCAATGTAGCAGCCATTCGATTTTCATTTCTAAGGAATTCATGTATACGAAAAAAGAGAGGGCAAAGGGAGAACTGCATATGAAGGATTTGAAGATCTATCACAGGGAATGAAATCTGGAACAGGGATTATTGGGAGAGACCTTAAATCTCAAAATCTATCAGAAATGGTAACGGTCCATGTTTTTATGATTCACCAAAGAAGTCCATGGGGTCTCTCAGGTTGACATACAACTCCTGATCAGGTTTGACTTATCTTCTTGACACTTTTTAGGAAAAATATACAATTCATAATTGTCGAATGAAAAGGGGGTTAACATCAAATACATGTATATGATATAAAAGAGTTTATGTAGTCAAGTTTTCATCGAAATGTATTGCGAATTTCATCCAAATTAATTAATTATAATGTATCAGTTAAAGATGTTTCCATTGCAATTTGTCACATTTCCTTCCTGTGTTTTGATCGAGACAGGACATTTTCTACCTCAGCCTGGCTTAAAACCTTTTTTTTTGTGGTCTCAGGGTTTGTTTCACTATTTGAAATTGAAACGCTGCTATTTTCCTGGTGAATATATGATTCATCATGTCTTGTACTGGGTGTATATTTATTTTCTTACTCTTTCTTCTTCTGGGATAAAAACATTTCAAGTTTTTGGCAATTCTTTGAGTAATGCAAACAGTGTTAAGTTGTCAGGTAGCAACACATAAGCACCGTTTTAGCCATTCGTTCCTTCAAATCTTAGAGCTCTAATCATGAATATAGAGACCATCATAAGGATGCATCTTGAAACAGAAGAAAAAGTCCAAATTAGGTGTGATGTTAGACCACTTTTTAACATAATTTTGAAATGGATTTTAGAACATTATCCTCAACCGACGTTGGAAACACAGCTATCACTGTAAAGAGAACTATGCAGAGTTATGACTCAGAGAAGAAGGTGTAATATAGTTCATGCAAATGTGTAAACAACAGCTAAAGGTTAATCTGCATGAGACATGAGAAAGGTCAGCATGGAGCAGCAAACACTGAAACTAATTCCCTGTACACAGACACATAATAATTGGATAACATGCAAGCCTACACACCTGCAGGTAGTGGAAGCTCCTCTCCTTCAGCTTACTCTCCAAGGGCACCAGGGCTTTCTCGTAGCTCGCCCCCCTGGTGGAGGGGTACACCTCTCTGGCCTGACTCACTGTCATGGCTGACCAGGTGCTTCTTTTCAGAGAGTGGCCGTGGTGGCCGTGGTGCCCCCCTCCTTCACTCCCAGCCAGAGCCATTGTGGTACAAGCCATGCACTCTGGAGGTCCAGGACCACCACCCCCACCACCACCCCCTCCATCACCACCTCCACCTCCACCACCACCACCACGCTCCTTGGGCCTCTTCATGGTGAGCTCCTGGATGGCTGCATCCAGGCTCTCATGCCCGCTGGGATACCCTCGCCGGCCCCCGCTGACCAGGTAGCTGCTGTCGCTGTCCAGGTTGTCGTCAGAGCTCCACCAGCCTGCCGTCCTGCTGCGATGGCGTCTGCCTGACTCGTGCCTGGAGTCTCCACTCTTGCTACGCTCCCGAGACTTGCTCCTCCTTGCAGAACGAGGCTGGTGACCTGAATAGTGACCCCCGCCGTCCTCCCCTCCACTTCTGTGGCCTCCTCCTCTCTCTCCTCTCTCTCCTCTCTCTCCACGGTAGTCCCCGCCTCCTCTCGTGCCGTTGAACTCCCGTTTGCCTGGCGCCTCCAAGGACTGGGACTTTGCGAAGAGGCGCTGCACAGAGTTGACCAGGTGGCGGATGCGTGAGGGGCTCTCGCTGCGCGGCTCAGCCCCCCCACTGGACGCGCGCTGGTACTGCAGTGTGTGGAAGCCATCGGGATGAAAGGGCACCTGCTGGTCGATCATGTTCGGGGGAATGCGGTGCATCTTCCCTCCAGGACCTGAAGACAGGCACTCTTCGCAAGAGTCAAGCGACTGGAGAGGCGGGTGCTGGCTGGGGTGGGAACGTGGAAAGGTTCCCCCTCCAGAGTGGCCGTGGGAGTGGGAATGGTGCCTCTCCAGCGCCAAGGCCTCAGCCTGGCCTGGAGGGTAGTAGTGGCCATCGCTGTGACCCTGGTAGTAGTCCCTGCCCGGGCCCTCACCGTCCTCAGGCGGGCAGTGGCAGGGTCCGCCCCCACCGGAGGAATGCTGCGACATGCTACGGCTGACATGGTACCCTTTCACAGGCGCCGGGCCGTGGTGGGCCGTCCGGGCCGAAAGGGGGCGCTGCGGGCGTGACAGGGCTGCACCGGTCTCACCTGGAGGCACAAAAAGAGGAACAAATTAAGTCTTGTTGCCAGGGAGACAGGAGTTGTATTCGCGAAGAAAATATGAATCTTATCAAATAATTGAATCAAGTGGTTCAGTCTTGCAATCAGTAATATTGTACTGTCTTCTTACAAGGAGTATCTGGGAGATGATTAGTAGGTGTTCCTGATCTCTGCTCTTACCTTTACATTAACTCAATTGCTCTTAGCATTTTTAACAGGCACACATGATGGACACATAGGAAAGGGCTATAACTTGTAGGGACATTGATCTCAACCTAATATGGTTGAGAGTCCGTACAGGTTTAAATAACTTGTTAGTATTTGTAGCGTATATGTTTAAGACACAGTGGTGGGGGGTGCAGTGGACTGAGATAAAGGTATGACTTGACAAATGAGTCACATCAGAAAGAAAGGGACTTGCAGATTTATATCAAAGATAGTTTTCTCGCATCTATCAAGTGGCCTGTTAAATTGAAAATGAAAAGAATATGTTTTTCTGATTCCTCATGATTACCATTTTTATTGATGTTGCTCTTCAGTTTTTTACCCAACCAAAGACAAACAGTGCAATTGTTTGCGTTCATCCTGCAGGCCGCAATAATAATGGGCCACAGGCAGCTTTCTTTTCCTCGCTCATCTCTAAGGCTGCGGTGCTGATAAATCAAGAATATTAGTATTTCTTTCTATCTCAAGGTGTTTCTTCATTTTCCGCCTCGCTCTCCCATTTAACACCCCCATCACTCCTCACACTTGTTTATAGTTGTATTCATCACCCCAGCACTTCTTGTTGTCTGTCTCTTTTTTCTTCCTCAATGTCTGCACGGGAGCTCAGAGCACTTGCATGATTTACAGCTGAGGAAAACAGTGCATTTATCGATCGCTTGCATCTTAATGCGGGAAGATAGAGTGTCGGCAAGCGTCCAAGCAAACTCAAAAACCTCCGTGCTATCAATGACTGACCGAGTCCCCTGTTATAATACCTGCTGAACATGAAACCATTCACAGTATCCAGGAGATCAGGCACAAGCCGTTGCTTCCAAAAGAACAAAAGTGCAGCCGAGGACGAGTGCAGGAAATGAAATCGATACACCAAGCTGTAGCAACAATGTGGCACAATGTAAACCTTATCGCCCACACACACTCGAGTATCTGTAAGTTAAAGTAAACAGAATGAAAACATGAAATCTAGGTTTAGTCTTTTTTTTTCCCTCACACGGACAACTGAGATTACCTTCCAAATGTGGTCATCATTTATTTTATTGGACTGGCATTAATTGCTGCTCATCCTCTTTTACCCACGTTCTCCTCTAATAATGAATCAAGGGCGCACGGCCTGTTTGTAATGCACATAAGCACTTCAAGATTGGATTAAACTGAGCTGATATTACTCGACGAAAGGCTGAATGAAGCCGCTCGGCTGGATGGGATTCACTGAGCCTTGTGTTTGTCGGCCTGCTCACAGAGATGAGAGATAGGGGACAGATGCTGGGATAATCATTAAATGGAGTGTGGCGTGTTAGCCTTGATTGGCTGAATGAGAGCCGCCACCCAGGAAGCTCACCCACATCCAGCCGTGTCATTGGTGTAGCCGTGACAACGGGCCTTTCCAAGTCAGCATCCCAGTACTGAGAC